CGTCTTATGGGTATGTAAACAGTGGGAATTAACTGCTTATGCAAAAAGGGTTAACTGAATTCTCGTCTTATGGGTATGTAAACAGTGGGAATTAACTGCTTATGCAAAAAGGGTTAACTGAATTCTCGTCTTATGGGTATGTAAACAGTGGGAATTAACTGCTTATGCAAAAAGGGTTAACTGAATTCTCGTCTTATGGGTATGTAAACAGTGGGAATTAACTGCTTATGCAAAAAGGGTTAACTGAATTCTCGTCTTATGGGTATGTAAACAGTGGGAATTAACTGCTTATGCAAAAAGGGTTAACTGAATTCTCGTCTTATGGGTATGTAAACAGTGGGAATTAACTGCTTATGCAAAAAGGGTTAACTGAATTCTCGTCTTATGGGTATGTAAACAGTGGGAATTAACTGCTTATGCAAAAAGGGTTAACTGAATTCTCGTCTTATGGGTATGTAAACAGTGGGAATTAACTGCTTATGCAAAAAGGGTTAACTGAATTCTCGTCTTATGGGTATGTAAACAGTGGGAATTAACTGCTTATGCAAAAAGGGTTAACTGAATTCTCGTCTTATGGGTATGTAAACAGTGGGAATTAACTGCTTATGCAAAAAGGGTTAACTGAATTCTCGTCTTATGGGTATGTAAACAGTGGGAATTAACTGCTTATGCAAAAAGGGTTAACTGAATTCTCGTCTTATGGGTATGTAAACAGTGGGAATTAACTGCTTATGCAAAAAGGGTTAACTGAATTCTCGTCTTATGGGTATGTAAACAGTGGGAATTAACTGCTTATGCAAAAAGGGTTAACTGAATTCTCGTCTTATGGGTATGTAAACAGTGGGAATTAACTGCTTATGCAAAAAGGGTTAACTGAATTCTCGTCTTATGGGTATGTAAACAGTGGGAATTAACCGCTTATGCAAAAATGGTTAACTGAATTCTTTCTTCAAGAAGCATAGTGTATGGTAGTTGAACCATGTTTTGAACATATATGTCTTCTATCAATGGTCTAATGGCAATTCATAGAAAGTTCTTAGCCCTAGTTGAACATTTAAAATTGATTACCTCCATTTTCCTGATTTTAGATATTCAAATGCGGTTAACTGCCTTTTTGTATTGCATGGTCTATCTTTTCCTATGGAGTAGGGACAAGGTTGTAGCCGTAAATATTATTTTCATGTCCATGTGAGGTTGAATCATAAGCCTCAAAAGGAAGCAATTCTTGTAATTTCTTCACAGCATGGTTTTGACTTTACCTGGATAAGTTATTAGACAAGCATATAGACCATTTTGATTTTAATTGATGTATTTAAAGTCTGAATTGTTTCTATTCTTAGGTATGTAATGCATTGTTTTTTATTTTTAATTTTGTTTTCAAGCTTAGTTTATTTATTATTTTAATAAACATTAATTATTAGTTCTTAATAATTGTTTTCCAGGTTTTTTTTTTGTTCAACCATATAAAATTAACAAAATCTAAAAATTAAAAAAAAGGCTATGGTGGCGTTTAAAAAACGTCACTATATCCCATCCCAACGGCTAGATTTTAAAATGAATAAATGTCTATGACGGCGTTTTCAAAAACGTCGTTAAATGTCAGAGTGACGTCACAGTACAGTTAGGGTAGGACATTTGGCGGCGTTTTCAAAAACGCCGCCTATACTAATATAACGACGTTTTTTAAACGCCATAAAGTTATAGCGACGGCCGCGTCCTCGACGTTTGGTACTAAGCGCCACAAAAAAAATTAACGACGTTTTTAATACTTTTAGCGGCGTTTTTTAAACGCCGCTAAAAGTGAATTTTCCAGCAGTGCACTTTCATTAGGACCCATTGCTTTGTCTTTTTTGCCATTCACAATTCCTTAGCCTTTGAACTGCATGTATGCATTAGGATTTAGGAGTTTAGGTGTCGTTTGGAATTATATATTTTAGTTAAAAAATCAAAAAATTATTATAAATTATCATATCATTTTTTCTACTTTTCTGTACATCTTTTTATAAAATGTTAAAAAATTACTAAAATAATATGTTTCTAAACGAGGCCTTAATGTACAAGTTTTATAGATTATTTTTTTAAAAAATTCTTAACAGAAAGAGAATTTGGTTTTGCCATGTTACCTACGTATGGTTGGTTTGGGAAGTTATTTTATTTTATTTTATTTATTTATTTATTTTTGTTAAAATAAGAGATGAAATAAATTGAAATGTCTGAGAATTACTTTTGATTTTTTATGAAAAAAAAAATACAAAGTGAAGCAAATGGAAATAATAATTCTTTGAAATATGAATGACTGACGATGGACATATTTAGTACAACTTATTATAAAATAAAAAATAATAATTAGAAAGCAAAAGTCAAAAGCACCCTTCCCCCAGCTTCCTGAAAATCATTTTATTTAAGTTATTTTTATCTAATAAGTTTTAAGCAGAAATTATACCAACCACAGACTAGCAAAATAAAATAAATTATAGCCAACTCAGATAGGCTATACCAACTAACCCCAATATACTTCAGCCAATGCAGAAGATGGCAACACTAATTGGTGTTTCTCCCATTCCATTATGGCCCAATTTCGTTTATGAATGTTTTTTTTGGGTGAATAAATTATTTATTATTTTTTTGCTTATGAATGTTGCTCTGTTTCCTTGTAATATCATGACATTTCTCCTTCAACTTCCAGCATTAGACATACGAGGCAATTAAAAAAAATAAAAAATAATTCACAAGTTTGCATATTGATTATTTAAAATGGCAACTGAGAGAATCATCTCTTGCCCAATTTGGCAACAACCTAATGAAATGATTCCATTATAAATAACTCCCAAGATGGCATTATATAGTCTCATAACACCATATGTCATTATTTTTATACTAACTGCAAAACGCACTATGTAAGTCGTTCTTTATCTCCTAACTACCTAATAAAGATGAGTTAAAATTATTCCACCCGTAAAGATTTATACACGTGAACAATATTAGATAGTATTCTAGAACTACTAAATAATCACCACTTTTACCTTACCAGTAGACATTATTTCCATTATAGTTAAAGCATTAAAATCAACAAAAACATTCCCATTATAGTTAAAGCATTAAAATCAACAAAAACATCAGGAATTACCCCTAAAAGAAGTCCTATTGCCCCTTTAACGAGATAAGGGAAACTTAAGATTCTACACAATGATTTATGATGGTGTGCTTTTCAACTTCCATAATTCCATAAAATGAGGCAAATTAAAAATATATATATATCCTAGAAAATTAATGCATGTACTATGGACATCTAACAATGTAAAGAAATCTAGAATAAATCATGATTTATCTGATCAGTAAATCAGACCGCAGTCTAAACCATTTAAAAACTATCATTTTCCTTCCCATAGAGAAAGTATCAATCTTCAAATCTCACAATATGGAAAGCAGCTCTAAACAATCATGAACACAAAAATTTTTCTACCAGTGTAGGCATCGACAAATCTTCTTCTTCTTCGATTTTGTAAATTAGCTTCAATTTAAAATAGGATGCCCTGTGATTACAAACTAGGAGCCGGATTGCTGCTAAACTGCAATACAAAAGCTAAAAAAGTGTGTCAAGAAACAGTTACAAGTCGTCGTTTATATAGATTTGTATATAAGCAGTTGAAGAGAATCCATCTTAAATGATAGATATTTTAATAGAATAATTTAAGTTATTACTAGAGTGATTCATGACTGCATCAATGATCAATCTTGCATGTCACAACTAACTGTGGCTTTGGAATCAAATCTTATTTATTGTTAACCTAATAATTTTTTCAATCAAGTTCAAATCCAATTAGCTACATGTAAAATGTGATATCTATTGTTGAAGAAGCTGCAGTGAAGCATTCCGATGGGTTTAATTTTTCTTTTATCAAGAAGGCGCCTTAAAGCTACATTCATTGCCTTAATTCCTAAGGTTGAAAGAGATTCATGCTTTGAGGAGTCCAATCCCATTTAGTATATATGGTAGGATTTATTTACAAAATATTATCCAAGATGTTATCAATCAGATTAAAGAAGGTACTTTCAGAAGTTATTAGTGAGCCACAAGCTGCCGTTGTAGGATAGTGTTTAAAACTGATTTTTAAAAAGGCGTATGATCATGTTAATTAGCCCTTTTCCTTATTGGATATGCTTGATAAGTGTCTCATGTAGAAAAGATTGACATACCTAGGCAATCAAAAGCAAAGACCCAATAATCAATCATGGGGAATTTAAAAAAAAAAGAAAAAAAAAGAAAGATCGTTAAATATGTTTGTCCTTCAATGGATTGGGGACATTTCTAATTCTGAAAAAGAGGAATTACAGCTGAAAAATGTGTTACCTGTTTTACTATAATGCTAAGGAGGCCATCATCCGACGAACAACTGCTATTATTGTGATGGCTCTTGATTTCTCTTTTTGTATTATTCTCAAAGGGATATCGATGTTGCACAAACTGCCCTTTTCGGATTGAGTCATCTGCGATTTGTCGCATGTCAAATGGAAAGTTAATTGGTTCTTCTTTTACTTTGAGATTAGCTAAATTTTTTTCTTTATGTTGCCCTGAAATTGGAAAACAACAGAATGATGAGTTCTATAAAACTCAAAATTGTTCACTCAGTACATATATATATGTAGCTGACTTAATATCCATACCAAGTACAAGAATAATAAAAACAAAGCAAAGACAGTGTCTACTGAAACTCCATCAATCAAAAATTTATTAAAGGAAGAAACCCTTTTGTTTTAAGTGGACATACAGTGAAATCTGCTCTCAAATTTAAGTGTGATAATTGATATAACATTCTTATTTTATGGTCTGAAAGCTTGAAATTTTGTGAATTTATAGAATTATTTCAATTTTGGTTTCATTGATATAGGAGGGGACAAAGAACAAATTAGCGAAATACTAAAAACCAAACAGAGTTCAATGATATTGGGGAACAAAAATAAAAAGAAATATACCAAACAGAAAGATAAAGGGAGGATAACTAACATGGAAGCAGCATGGCAAGAGAATCAGGTTGAGAAATTGGATTCAATTGATTTGAAGCATCTCCAAGCATTTGAAAAGGAACACCGTCAAGGTTGAAGGCTGCAGGAGGACACGAGTATGGCCCAAAGCTAACAGGCATACTGCTTGGAGAAGATTGTCCTATGTTAAAGCTAGGAAGATGTGAAGAAGACATCTTGACATTGTCATCAAACATCTTTGTTCTCGAGTTAATAGAGTGAAACCTCATCCCATTAAATTCATGATGGGGAGATGGATTTGCCGCAAAAAACGGAGATGGAGGGACACTTCCAAGCATGATTGGGCGCATTTGATCTGCTACTACTTTGGGAGGTAGTTGGTTTTGTTGGAGGAGTTTTGCATTTGATGTAGAAGCACCAAATGTTTGAAGTCGGCTACCAAATGAGGTGATCCCAGTACTCATGTCTTGTTCTGCAAATCTATTGTGATGATTGATGGTGTTTAGGCATTGATCAAAACAAGATGTGGTGATTGTATCAGATAGAAGCCCATTTGTTCTGTTTGAATTGATATTGTTCTCGCTTTCTTGGGTAATTTTAGCTTTCGTGTTCTCCTTCCTTAAGGCATTTTTGTACTTCTGCAATCAAGAAAAAGGAGTATCAAAAAACAAACAGTTAAAGAATCACAGTTTAGTTTCACTTGCATTACATATCTGACTAGTCCATGATGCAGGATATAGAAAACAAAGGACTTATAGCCCAGAATGCCATGTTGGAAGCTTGATGGAAAGACTAAACTCACCCGAAGGTGGTTAGCAACACTTTCTTGAGAGATCATCGGTTCATTCATGATTTGGAGTATCTCCTTTGCAACTGCTTCTGCAAAGGTACAAAACCATAGACCCAATAATGTTAGGATACACCCCAATACATACTTTTACCTTTGTCATTTTTGTGTGATATTAGCAACTAAGCTAGTGCAAGGAGCAACGTTTTACATAGTGGTATCGAAAGACGATTAAGTATGGATTACAGTGTAACCTTATTGGAAGTATCAAGCCATATGTATTGGGAATCAATCAAGTGTATATTTTTTAAGCTTGTAAAATAAAATAAAATGAAGATCCAAGACTTACTATCCACTCCTAGCTGCCGAGCAGCATCGACAAACTTGTTATGCAACACTCTAGTCCAACTAACCCTCTTCTTCTTCTTCTTCTGAGCATATGGGTTTTGATCTGTTCCTGCTTGCACGGTGCCAGATTTCATTGTATTAAATAGGTTTTGTCGGACCACATGCTGCCAAATATTCTTCACTTCTGCCAACCGAAGTGGCTTTATCAGGTAGTCTCGAGCTCCATGCCTTACCCCCTTCAACACCGATTCTTTGTCATCATTTGCAGACATCACTGCAATTCCAAACTTATGTTTAAGATTTAATCTCATCCAAGTTAATGTATACTGATTAAGAAATGATGAGCTTACTTATTACTGGCATGTCCATTTCAAGGCCTATTATCTCCAAAAGCTCGAAACTGTTCATGTCGAGCTTTATAACATCAGTAATCACAATATCATAGCTTTCTTTGTTCTTCCTCAGCATTTTAAGAGCTTCTGTTGCTTTTGTTGTCGCCGTAATTGCATACATATCAAAATGCATAAAATTTTGGAATAAATAGGCCTAACAGTTCAATGACCCTTTCAATAGTCAAGATTTATGTATCTCTGCTCTCTAGAGTAAGGAATGTAGTTTTAGAAAAAATTCTATGAAATAGTGCATTAAATTCAATTTGTTTGGCTTTATATGTTTTGATTGAACTCCCTATGAAAATTTTGTAAGAGTAACTAAATAAAAATATTGGAATATGAAATAAAAATATTGGAAGACGTGATCTTCTGCCTAATCCCCAAACTGTAAAATTCAAATTCATTTTGTGTTTTTATAACTGAGAACTAGTCAGACCCACAATAATGGTCAATGTTGGGGGGAACGCTATTTTGACCATTGTAATAAAATAAACATTATTTTTTAATTTTATCAATTTAAATCATAAAATTTTTATTTCTTTTCAATCTAAACCATCTACCTCCCTTTTTCTGATAAGTAAAATCAATGAAAAATATGATATTTTAGTCATAAAAAGCAACAAAAAAAAAAGTACATTGAATTTAATGACTAAAATATTATTTTTTTCATCCGTTTTACTTAACAAAATAGGTTGATGGTTTAAATTAAAAACAAATTAAATTTTTAAATTTAAATTGACAAAATTAAAAATTCAGATTCTTTTGCAATTTTCTTTGAATTTTAATATCCAACAATTTAGTAACATTATACTTACTTGGCTGTTGCCTTTAAAAATAAAGAGAGAAAAATGGAGCAATTGCCCAAAGTCGCCCCTTTTTCTTTTCTTTTTTTCTTTGAAACAGCAAAAAAGCACTTCATTTATAATAAACAAGCAACAATACATTGACATCAAATAATAAAAGCAAAGGATGCCGAGAACGTCATAGCAAAGATACAACAAAAATGCTATAACTCCATTTGTTCACAAACCAAACTAGGAAATTCATTTTTTAAAAAAAAGAAAAGAAAAATCACAAGCAACCTAATAAGATGTCCACAATTAATTCATAAATTCTACAATTTGAAATTATCAATTTATGTAACTATCGTAGTTATGTTACACACAAGGTATACATTTAAAATTAGGAATTACATGTGTACATTCAAAATTCAAAGAAAGAAGTCTAAGAATCATATTCTATAAGTACTCTCCACATAAATTTTCATATCCTCAAGAATTATGAACTTGTTCAAATAATAAACCATACCCTATTTGTGATCTTCAGGCATATAAGCCTATATATATTGGGATTGAGAATAGAAACCTTTATAGCGACCCTTGTTGAGAAGAGCAGCAACAACTTTGAGGCAGACAACGTTGTCATCAACCACAAGAACACTCAAACCCTCCGGAAAGTTGGCATTCACTCTGCTTTGCGTTGGTGCCGCCCGGTTCAGACTCACATGAACAACCTCTTTTTTTGACATAATGAAAACACTTTTATTATTATTATTCGAAGAAAGAGAATATCTTCACCAAGATATATGCAATTTGTAAAGTGGGTTTTATTTTGGTTTTCTCTTAGGATATCACTAGGATTTTCTCTGGAAAATCAAGTACTCCATGAAAAAGTTTATGAAGAAGGAAAGGAATATAGGAGAAGCAAATTTAAGAGAGAAAAATCACTAAAACGTTACATAATAATTAAAACGTTACTAAAACGTCACATAATAATTAAAATGTTACTAAAACGTTCCATGAGGGGAAACCAAAAGCAGCAATTATTGAGTTTCCATAAGTGGAGTTTCCTTTTTATACAAGTAACACGTGTGTGAACTTGAATTTTATTTATTTTTTATTTTTTTTTTTTGACAAATTACTCCGGTGGTTCTTCTAAACTTATTTGCATCAATTTTGATCTTAAATTTTTCATATAGTGTCAATCTAATCCGATTGGTAATGTTATTTTAGAAATTGAACTAAAATTGATGATCATAATGGTTATTTAGTATTCCTATAATAATTGAGAGGTTACTATGTAATTTAAAATAATCTATTTCCTTTTGAATTGAATACTTTATCATTGATTTTTGTCAAAATTCTTAACTAATATTATCAATTCAATTAAATTAAGACTATAAAAAAATTAAAAAGTAAAATTGATACAATTACAATCGCAAAAACTAAATTGACATAAAAAATTGATTAAAATTTCAATACATTAATTACTTCATTACAAATATTGATGTGTAAGCACTGGGCAGAGGTGGGCGCCACATACAACACTGTGGTGTTAATTGAGCTCATTCACCTTTAAAATGTTACTACTCCTTCTGTCCCAAAATAATGGTCCCTTTTGGAGAATCTAACTTTTTTTGATAGTACAATTATTGCATTTGAAAAAAGTTGATTTTTCAAAATTACCCTTTGATAGTACATTTTTTGGGAATATCAATGTCATAATTCTACTTTTTATATTGTTTATTAATTTAAAAGAAGGGCAAAATAGAAAATTTATATTATTTTTGTACTTGATTTTTGAAGAGGGACTAATATTTTGGGACAATGAAAAATGGAATAAGAGACTAATATTTTGGGACGGAAGGAGTAACTCTTTAATAGGGTCAATTACAGCCAGCGTCTTCAATTATTAAATCAAATCAAAACTTAAATTTCATTCACCTTTAAAACATTACTAACTCTTTAATAGGGTTAAATGAGATCATATAATGTCAATCTAATCCGATTGGTAATGTTATTTTAGAAATTGAACTAAAATCGATGATCAAAATGGTTATTTACTATTCCTATAATAATTGAGAGGTTAGTATCTAATTTAAAATAATCTATTTCCTTTTGAATTGAAAATTTTATCATTGATTTTTGTCAAAATTCTTAACAAATATTATCAATTCAATTAAATTAGGACTAAAAAAAATTATAGAGTGAAATTGATACAATTACAATCGCAAAAACTAAATTGACATTAAAAATTGATTAAAATTTCAATACGTCAATTACTTCATTACAAATGTTGACATGTAAGCCCTGGGCAAAGGTGGGCGCCACATACAATACTGGCGTGCCAATTGAGCTCATTCACCTTTAAAACGTTACTAACTCTGTAATAGGGTTAATTATAGCCATTCAATTATTAAATCAAATCAATTCAAAACTTAAATTTCATTCACCTTTAAAATGTTACTAACTCTTTAATAAGGTTAAATGAGATAATTTAATGTCAATCTAATCCGATTGGTAATGTTATTTTAGAAATTGAACTAAAATCAATGATCAAAATGGTTATTTACTATTCCTATAATAATTGAGAGGTTAGTATCTAATTTAAAATAATCTATTTCCTTTTGAATTGAATATTTTATCATTGATTTTTGTCAAAATTCTTAAGTCAGTCTCTCCTCATACGAGGCATCCTCATCTATCTAAAAGTCGGTCCAATCCAACACACGAGACGGATCCGATTCATACTTCCAAAGCATACTAATATGAAACACGTCATGCACTTCGGAGAGTTGTGGCGGTAACACCAAATAGTAAGCAACCTCCCCAATTCGCTCAAGGATCTCAAAAGGGCCAATAAATCGAGGGGATAGCTTCCCACTCTTCCCAAATCTCATCAAATCCCGCCTAGGTGATATTTTCAAGAACATATGGTCTCCTACCTCAAAAGACAAGGGTCTCCTCCTACGGTTAGCACAACTTTTCTGGTCATGACCCGAACCTGCCCCCGTAGGTTAAGGACATAACCGGCCAGTAATCATGAGATCACCTACGGCCTCAAACCAAACCAAAAGGATTTTAACAGAGTTGATGGGGGCCAAACGGAAGCAATTTAAAACTTTGTCCATAGAGCTGTGTTTACATGGCACATTATGACAAACCATCCATATGCCTATTAATAACTCACAGCGAAATATGTACTACAAAAGGTTCTGTACATACAGGATCATATCAGTCTAAGTCAACCCATCACGGCTATATACAACATATGCAAAGTCTTCGCCAACATGACAAAATATAAATACATAACAAAAGGGCGAAGACAGGTCTCGTGCGTGAGACACAAGGCTGACTCTCTCAAAACCTTTGTTGTTCCATATAGACTTCACCAGGGCTGGGTTTGGACTTCTCTGGGCTCACCTACAAACACATGAATGAGCGTGAGCGATAGCCCAGTGAATAATATCAAATACAGAAGTTATACAAACGATATGTAGAACAACATGCATCAAATGGCCTTGGGCCCAATTCATATTTCTATATACACAATGTAGGTCAAGTGACTGCGGTTCCGAATAAACTGGCCTTTGGCCCTTTTAAACTTTTATTTGTGTCAAAACGGCCTTTGGCCCATTCAGATGACAAACTGGCTTTTAGCCCATTCATTCGTTCATGTCGAAACGGCCTTTGGCCCATTCGTTCTTGTCAAAACAGCCTCCGACCCATTCATTCATGTCAAAACGGCCTCCGACCCATTCATTCATGTCAAAACGGCATCCGGCCCATTCATTTGGTATAGCAAACATTGTCCACCAATCGAATCAATGAACTTATAGAACTTACGTAGAAGTAAGCAATTAGACAACAACATATTTCAGATATCTTTGTTAAGATATTACTCACAGTGATCGGTTGGTTGGTTTGCCCTGGAGCTCGACCCTACACATTCCATGAACACAAAAGGGTCACAAACAATTTGATCCGTTCTAAATTCAAATTTTCCTCTTTAGGTTTCATTCTTATCTCTTTAACTCAATTACAATGCTCAATGCATGCCTAAGAGTACTTGAAGTGAAAGAGAACAGAAAATGAAACACATAATGCCTTTTCAAAATTTCAGAAAATAGGGTCCCCGTTCTAGCGTGGACTCCCCCACTCGAGCGTACCCTTGAGGCCTACAAAAGTACTGGATGCATCAAAATTACGCTCGAACGTGAGGTCTGGCGCTCAAGCTGAAGGTCTGTCTAAATAGTTCCCCGCACGAGCGTGAACTTACCCGCTCGAGCGGACATCCAAGTTTGCAAAAATACTAGGAGCACGAAATTCAGGCTCGATCAGC